TAATTGTATTTCGCACCTGTAAAACTCATTAATGATGGTAATAAACGTTTAGCACCAGATAAATGTGATTCAGTCAATGAAGTTTTCGCTGTTTGTACACTTAATTTCATTTGAATAGGACTAATAATGAATTGATCAAACCAGAAGAGTTTATTTTCGGTTATAGTGTTGTTACGTGATTTTCTTCTAGAAGGAGGAAACGAAAAGAAGCAACAGAGAGATAGAAACATGAAAACAGTGAGCATAAAGGTTGTTTTTCAAAACATACTGAATAGAGAATGAAAAAAATAAGCTTTTCTTCAATTAATTCGTTGTCATCCTATAACGATTAGTACAAAGAGGCAGGCACCTACGGTATATGCATCACATAAATCAATCGGGGCTTGGATATTGTCCAGGTACCTAGACTGACACAGCCAGTATTCTAAGCGAGCTACTCTCACAAGCAGTAGATTACCGCTCGAAAATGCAGTTCGATGGCAGACAATGACTAACGATTGTCTCATATACCATTTGTTCCAACATGATCCTGGAGCCCATGTGCACCACTGGTTCAGGATCACAGAGTCTTCCAAATCCATTAAAATCGAATCCTCTGTACCTACCAATCAGGTTTAACCACCGGATACTCGCTTTTCGTCCTCCGAGTTTCGTAAACAACAACTCTAACACGAGAAGGTAGTGAGTAAGACTTTCCTGACAGTGGCTATAAACGCTTAGCCATGTGAAAGCAATTGGATAACGAGAACAGATTATCCACACTCGAGTGTAGCAGAACATTTGAAGATGTTACCGGCTGAAAACAGTGGTATTCTAGGATTGAGAAATTCGATAACGCTGAGTAATCATGAGAACCTGAATAAAGTTAGGAATACAGTTCAAGATATTTAGAGTTAACAGTATACAGGTGTCCTGCTTGCTGTTGTAGGCCTTGAAACTGACCCCATGTATCCAAATGTAGAGTCTTTGGTGGCGACTGTTGGAAAAGTTCCAACCTTGGATGAAACAACTAATGTAACCTGTTTTAAATTGATGATGATAGCCATGTAATTAAACTAACAAATCAAAGTTTGCGTACGCAAACTTTCACGCTACACTACTTGCGACGTCTGATTCGTTAGCTAGACACCATCAGCAAAAACCTATTATGGGAGAGAACAACCTAATTCCAGAGGGAGAAAAAATTAGAAAGAAGCGCTGGAGGCGGATAGGACACACATTGAGGAAAGCAACCAAATGTGTCACAAGACAAGCCCTCACTTGGAACCCTCAAGGTCAAAAAACAAAGTACGCCGTGAAATGGAGACAGACATTAGAAGAATGAACAAAAATGTGACAAAACTGAAAACGGAAGTCCAGGACAGAGCAAGCTGGAGAATACTCGTTAGCCGACAATGCTCCGTCAGGGGTAACAGGCATAATTAAGTAAGTAAGTAAGAAACTACTACAAATGAACTTACTTATTCGTATCAGATAAATCATTGAAAGTTACAGGATGATTATTCAATGAACAATTGTCATTCGAATTATTCCATTGATTAATAGGAATATCATCTTCAAAAGCATGTTGATAAAACTGGATTAATTTCAAAAGAAGTAATTCCTCAGCTTGTACATTCAATGGACTTATATCAATCTAGAAAACCAAAAAAGAGAGAGAGATTCAATAAATTAGGAATATAAATCAGTGTATAACTTGTGTTTATGTTTTTTCAGACTTAAAGGAGTTAAGTCCTAATCCGCCAGAGTCGCGAATCCGTAACCAGGGCCTCATGACCATAAATACGTACCATTATTCTGGACTATGCTGGGCACGGTATCCTAAGCGTCCAGAACGGCTTTTGACCGCAACGCTGCAAACAATGCGGGACCACGAAGAGGCAAGCCGCCACCACTACCCTCAAAAAGCTCCGCCAACATTTAAGCCCTCCCAAGAGTACATATATGGTGATTATTTCCGATCCACGACCGCGTCAGCCAATATGCAACGCATGAACAGGTCATGTACGCATGTAAGCTCCCCACTTCCGGTATACTACACCATGCACTACAACCGGCCAGGAACTATCTACAGCACACGAATGAGCCAGATTATCGCCTACTAACCAAGCCAATAAGCCAGTTTAGTCATAGTAGACAGTCCTGGATCACAAACTGCGCATCCATTAGATGACGAGACATCATCCCTGCACACACAAGAGCACATATATAGTGATTATTTCCGATCGTCGACTGCGTCAATCAATGTGCACAAACTGAGCCTATTACTCCCTGATGGAGCATAGGTTGCCAACCAGGGAATAATTTCTCTTGCTAGAACGTTTTTAAGCGAGTTTGGATTTCTAAGGGATAAGTTCGCCAACTAGATGCCCAAGCCACTTATTTTATCTACACTTGAGACCGGCAGTAAACGTAGAAGGGCTCCAGACAGAGATTTTCTACATGAGTCATGAACTGAACAATGTTGGATAACCAGTGGAAACTTGAAAGTACTCAAAGACAGCTGTTTCGTCCTGGAATGAGACTTTTCAACAGTGTGCACCTATAAACCTGTAAGAACGAATCAAACCCAAGACCTTCAGTCTCGCGTGCGAATGCTTAGCCTCTAAACAACTTACAGATTCGTGAATGGGCACTGCTAATGAGTCCCATATTAGGATGAAACGGCTGTTCAAGTTGTTTTCAGGTTTCTACTAGTGGTCTAACATTGACCGATCCATGAAATTTTAATGAAACTATATTGATGAGTTTGTAAAGGATCGAGTCCAGTATGGTAGATACTATTCACAAAGTGGCTTCCAAGTTGTATGCAATGGACTGTCGTCTGAAAGTTACTGTCGGATCGAAATGCATAATGAGATCAAAGAATTTCGAAAATCAGAAGACATGTGAAAGGAGAAA